ACCGTACTCTAATATATTCAAATTCAGAAAATTTCCATGAAAATCTCGAACGAGTGAATGATCATAATTATTGAAGAACTGAAGCCATAGAATTGAACTAAGCATTCCTTCGTTAAAACTTTTTCCCAAATTCTTTTAAAATGATAAATATACGTATGTTTCATGAAATGTGGTCACGATACTTACTAAGAGGAAAACGAACTTGCATTCGAGCCGGCGTACTTGGTTCCGGCACGGTCAATTCACCGGTGTAATGATACTCGTGCTTCAATGGCGTAAGACCTGTGCATAGAGACATCGCTTCATTACGGATAATTCATCCCACTTGCCAGACAGTTATCCTATTGACATGCTTTTATGAGTCCCGATGAGATCCGACGTTCTGCTTCTTTATTAATTCAAAAGCTTCCAGCAATATACATATATACACGGCGACCGTACCGTCTATTAAAAGAAAATCTTGTCTTCTTCGACGCTTCGTCGTCGACTATCGTTTGACAAACAGAACATCGAATCCACTATTATAAATCTCTATCATTCTTTACGTCTTCACGAATCTTTCATCCAACCTTACTTCTTTCGTTGTTAACTTTTCCAATACTTTATCATACACAACTGCGAATGTTCATACGTTCATACGAAATGTTAAAGATGTAAATAATGCATGCTGCTATAGATTCTATTTCTCCAATTGCATTAAAAATATATATCTATAGTAAACGTTCGCAGTTTATTGCCATCATTTTCCTGGATTCTCTTCTTACCTAATACTGGGTGATCAGAATCTTGCGTTATAACGTATTCGCCCGGTTCTTCTCCACGAGTGTAGTTGTAAGTGATACATTTGCTGGCGGTCGATGTTTTCTGGATTACGTACCATACACCTAAAAGCTAAATTTGCAAAATTACTGCAGATGCACGACAGGAGGAAATTTGTTACAATGTGATTAACTTACTTTGTTCATTTGAAATCCGGACATTGGTTCCACAATGGGGCAAGCGCCCATGTGGTACGTGTGTGCCCTAGCCAGGGCAAAACATCCTAGCAGGAATGTTAAAAGGAATGGTGTCTTCATCTGTGAAAAAGAATTCTTTATGTCAGAAACTAATCGATTTCAAATATCGGTGAAATTTTTAGGAAACGAATTATCCCGATGACAACATAATTCATGTAATTTTATTTGAAGATGCAAACACAAAGATGTTTAATTACATAAAAATGACAATTAGGGAACATTATAGCAATAAATTTTAATCTTAAGATTAACGCCGTTTTCCTCGTACAATTTTTATCGATAAAATAAAATTTAGCATCCTTGAACTCGTTAGCGAAAAAAAACGTCCAATAAGACTGAAATTTCCCATAACGACAGAAAAATGTGTGCCACAGAGAGCAAAGATTAATACCAACTTTGGTGACCTCAGTGCTTAGTTCCAAGAAACGAATTATCACGAGAGTCATGTTTCTTTTATTATTCACACTCGATAGCAGAATGATATATTTTCCTCTAGAACGCTAATTAACATAACGCAAGATGGAGGGGCACTCAAGTCTGCGTTTGTAGCATTAGATTTATGTAACGAATAGGCCAAGAACCTCAATTCACTTAATATGTTGCCTTAAAACACAGAAATATTTTTCTCTCTACATGAAAAGAATGAAACTAGATTGATATTCTTTAATTCTATAATCTGTAATTGTTTTGAATGCATTCAAGTTAAAATTTTCTACATTTATTTAATAAAATTTATCAATGAAAATTAGTACTGTGGCAGAATCATTTTGGAACATATTAAAATATTTAACCCTAAATAACAAATGCTCGATCTGTCGACTATCTATGGTATATTTAAATTGCAAATGCAAAAATAGAAATACAATGTACTGTTTTGTGAAACGTAACACATTTCAACGAACATACTTACTGCGAAATGATGCTGTCAAGCTCTGAACTAGCACTGTAAATAATAGCTTCAGTGGTGAAGGTTTTTATGAGACATGCCCCACTCTCAATCCAATTATGTTTCACGTATACTTTGAATGGGCTAGCATGATCAAACTCGTAGTTCCTAAAGAATCTGTAGAAATGAGTCAATTTCTTTTGTTGCTTTTTATAAATGGCTATTTTTTTCTGTATTATGTCACAGTAATTCTTTAAGAAAATTAGCGAAAAACACAATGTCATTAACTCATCTTTGAACATTTTTTACTGCTACTTTTATAATTTGTTTATTTTTGTAGAGAAATAACAACGAAAATTTTTCATCGATATCTTTTATTAAAATATGAAACATCGTAAAATATGCGATATTCTATAATATTAAATTTATAATTATTTCAATGGCTCATTGTTTAATAGTCTGTAACATATAAAAAATGAGATAGAAATCTTTAGGACTTACATGTATCTTTTCTCGCAAAGACAGTTTGTTTGTATTCATTGAACTCGAGCTGAAGATATGGGTACTATGTAATTTCGCTATAATACCGTTGCTTGCGATGAATCATCTTCATCCGTACGCGAATCAAGTTGATCATTCTTGGAATCGCTAACATCACGTATGGTTTCATTCTTTTTTTTTCTATCTCCCTCTCTTTCTTTCTTTATAGAATTTAACTTAATTTACATATTACTGAGATAAAAGAAAACGTCATACTGGATAAATATCAATACAGATATATATTCTCTGTGAATACGAAAATGTTAAACAAATTATTGAAATTTCTCCTACATTGAGGAACATATTTCAATAAAATATTATCATTTATTTAGAGTAAAAATAAAAGAAAAAGATATTTTTAATAGGCGTATGAATTTCTCAGTGATACATATATATATATAATAGTGACAATATATCCTCAGCTGAATTCCCAACATTAAGTGTTATTATCTCTCTTAAAACAAGAACACTTACAGTGCTTACTCTGAACAGTGACAAAAATAATTTTCTTATTCAGTATATGATGGAATGATACCTAAGGCCACTCACGATATTTTGATTAAAATGAATAAGTAATGAATGTCTTACAATCTACAATAAAATTCTAAGAGTATACGACATTTATACGACAGAAATAAATCATTCAAACATCTCTTACAGAACACTTTTTATACTCGAGTATACTACAATGACTTATCATGATATCTATCAAAAATTTGTAGTGTTGTCTGAATATATCAATGTAAATACAAAATAAGTCATTAAAACAATTCTTAAATATTTTCTGTATGAATAAATTAACTTTTCAGTATACCCTGAGACATATTCTCTACATAGTCACACAATTAAAACGTCACGATATCCGAGTAACATTCATTCATCAATTTGTATTATATTGTTCAGTATTATGCCCGTGGCAATTTCGAAATATCTAAATCGTTGAAGTAAGGATGTTTTAGAGCGGCACGTGCTGATATTCTATGTACAGGATCATAGATAAGCATCATTTGCAACAGATCAAGCCCATCTGCATCTAACGTTTTAACTTGCGATTCCAAATTGTTTGTTATCCAATTTGGAAATGTGGCCTTATAATCTGATAATTGTGTTACACCAGGCCATATTTCTTCAGTAGGTGTTCTCAAAATTCTGCAAAGTATCTATTATTATTTTATATCCTATTAAATTACAATCTTATGTAACATATTCAACATACCGAAATATTCTAAATAACTGGTCAATTTCACTATCTCCTTGGAATAATGGCTTTTTTGTTGCCATTTCAGCAAATATGCAGCCTATGCTCCATATATCAATAGCACATGAATATCTATTAGCACCAAGGAGAATTTCTGGAGCTCTATACCATAAAGTGACTACTTCATGTGTATATACTCTGACTGGTATCCCAAAAGCTCTTCCAAGACCAAAATCTGCTACCTTAATCAATCCTGATTTGTCAATTAACAAATTTTGCGGCTTTAGATCACGATGTAATATTCTACGCTTGTGACAAAAGAGAGTAGCACGTGTGATCTGCAAAAATAAATCAGTTAATTCAATCAATTAATTCAATTTTGATAATTTGTGCTTACAAATGGTAGTAAATTTTGACCAGAACATGCTATATAATAGATTTTATTTCATATATTAAAAACATTTTAAATACCTGATATAAATAAGACTTGACCATTTGCGGCTCCATTAATTTTCCATTACCTAAACTATCCATATATTTCTTTAAATCCATAGTAAGATATTCAAAGATCAGATATAATCTGGTTTCTTCCATAAGAACATCCATTAATCTAACAATATTGGGATGTGGTAGTTCTTTGAGCAAAGAAATTTCACGAATCGCTGTGGATGGTATTCCTTCATCATCACTCTCCAAACGAATCTTTTTCATAGCTACAATCTCTCCAGTTTTCTTATGCTTTCCCTTGTATACCACTCCATATGTACCTATGAAAATTCCTTTTACTGTAATATTGCTCTTTCATTTTTCTTTTAGGAGCAGAACAACAAAAACTACATCATTTCTATCATGTATAATGAAATATAAATATGTCCATAAATAATTATCTTACAGTTTTAGCTTGCTCAAGCATCTTATCTAGCATCCTAGATTGCTTGATAATCATAATCTTTGAAATATTTATAATTCAATAACCTACGTCAAGAACTCGAGCTCAACAAAATTTACAAACTTAAAACTCGATTACAACATTGATCACATAAAAGATCGATTAAAGAGCGGCTACATCTTCATACAAATTTACTCAAAATACTTTTGGATGGAAAACAGGAAAGAAATGTTGAAAAATATTAACGAAAATACTGATTGGGAAAAAACGTAATTTGCAAAGTACTATCCAAAATCATTCACCTTCGCCGATCTTCTCGATTTTTACGAAATTCTCCATCGTGGATATACGCTTTTAAGCAGAAAGCTGCCTGGTGTATTTTTCTAAACTTCAATGTCTAACGTAACTCGTGTATAATAGAATTTCGTATATATCTCAGAAACTTTCCACGTATAACGTCACGTAACGATCAAATTCAAACATCGGTACGCCATATTGGTAAACACGCTTCAATGTTCAGCGTTCGGTATGATTCGTAACAAGTCGGCCTTGCACTGGCCAATCCGGATTGATGTTACAATAGTTATGCGCTGACAGAAGCGCAGCTGTTGCTTCTAAACCCGCGTTTCACTCCTATATTTTAGTAAAAATCATAATTATGACTAGAAATTCGTAAATCAATTGTATTTCTCATCTGTAGCTCACGAATGTTCGAATATTGTAAAAATTCGAATAACTTTGAACTTAAAACTCGGCGCTTAAAATTTTAGGAATCCAGGAGTTTTCACGGCTTTCCCTTTGTTAATAAATTTTAAAATTTGAAAACCTCATGTGCACCGAATATCTCTTCAATTATCAAGATCAAAATTCTGGAAGTTATTTATAAACGTTATTTATAAACATTAAAAAAAAAAGAAAAAAAAAGGAAAAAAAATATATGATCTGTGTCAATGAACCTCTTATGTATTTGTACATACAATATATAGATACAATGTGAAATTATAATATAAATTGGTGTTGCAAGCACATTCGTAGCATAAAAAGATCGTCTGCTTCACCTTTCGTATCCGTGAACAGATAATGAAAAATAATCATCGTCAAGCCGAGAATACAAAGCTCTTCTCCCAAATTTTTAACAAATTTATTTTTTTTCTTTCAATGTTTACAATATAATTATACAACTATAACAATACCCTTCGTATCTTTTATTATATATAAGCATTATTATTTTTGCAGTAACTCTCTATAGTTTCTATTTATAACGACCTCAAAATAATAACTCTGCTTCATAATCGACCTGACGAGATTATATGTCAACAGAAAAAGAATCCAGTTGCACCTTTGCTGGGCGTTATTAATCCTAAACTCATTGTCCAAAAGGTTTCACCACATTTTATCGGGGAAATTGATAACCACCACTAGCATAACCAAGTCCAACACCACGTTGCGTGTGTGTAGTAGCGCGTGCTACCTCGTACTGTTGTTCCATATTATTAAACATCTCTTCTTGCTTCTTTAATATATCTGGTTTAGCACCGACTGCCGGAGTAGTTGGTAAATCATCTTTAATGCCCATTAATCGTTTAAACTTTGCTGTTACTTTTCCATCTTGGTCATGAGTAAACGTCGTTCCCACCCAAGTGTTTGCAGTGGAAGCTGTTGTAGACGTTTTGCCTTCGTCCTGCTTCGACTATAAATAAAAATACTTTACATTAAATGTAAAAAAAATCATTCGTTGAAGATCACAGAAGGAAAATATTATAAGTATTTAATTACATATTATACGCTGGATTTTAAAATTGCTCTCACAGAAATGTAACTTATCGTTTTTTTTTTCTGTGGTCTTCGTATAAAATCGAATCGCCAATGATTACCTTATTTGCCCATAACAGTTTCCTCTTCTGTATTTGCTCTGCGTATTTTCCTTGCGTCGCTGTGGCCAAAGGATTATAATAATTCTGTTCGTTTTGAACACCGGGTGTAGCAATGTCACCTTCTGGTGCTTTAAGTTCGATTCCTAACTTCTCCAATTGAGCTAATTTGTTTCTGCCTTTCTCTTCCCTGTAGCTCATTGTTCTAAAAGGTGGCGGAGCTCGGTCTCTTGATCTAGATCTAGATCTTGCGCGATCCTTCTCTTTATGATAATTGGATCGATCGTCCCGATACCGGTCTTTCGATCTGTCGTCTCTAGAATGCCGACGATCTCGATCTCTATCTCTATCCCTGCGTCTATCTCTATCGCTTCTATCACGGTTTCGATCCCTTCGATCATCGCGGTAGTGATGATCTTTGTCACTCTTCTCCTTGTCGTCATTCTTCTCGTCCTTACTCGATCCCAAAGAACTTTTCTCCTTCTTTTTATCATCGTCACGAGATTTTCTGTCATCGTCACGATTCCTCTTTATGTCTCTGTCTCTGTGACTGGTTTCTCGCTGCCTTCTATCATCATACGACGGTCGTCGTCCCTTATCGTTCATGTGTCTACTACGGTCAGATCTATCTCCTCGTTTGTGCTCGTCTTTTGAGTTTGCTGTATGATTCTCATGATCAGATCGCCTGTAAAACGATTACGTTCTGCAGGATATACCACACAGATTCGTATTATTATTCTGCATGTAAGGCAAACATTATGTGGTAATGTATGTTGCAAGTTTTTTTTTTTTTTTTGTTTCTTATGAAGTTCAAAGAAACTCATTAATTTAAGTTCAAGTA